AATAATGTGTATATGTACAATTTTATAAAACGAATGACAAAAAATATAAATATTATATGATAGTAAATAATTTAATAAATATATTCATATTGGAAAATTCTCAAAAATCATATTTTTGAAAAATTCTAAGAAATACACTACTTGACTTAGATAAATCTTTTTATCATCAAAATAGTTCTTATAATCAAATTCACAAATAGGCTATTTTGAATTTGTCCAAAAATATTTTTATTAATTTTTAAGTTTTTTATTTTCAGTATAAAAAAAAAAAAATCATAGTCTATAATCATACTAAAAATGTAGCGCAAATGTCTATGAATTATATGGAAAATTTTTTTTTTTTAATATTGAATACAACAAAAGTTATTCCATATGACAGATCAGCGTGAGACACGCTGTATACCATATAAATCTTATTACCCTATTAAACTGTACATCAATAGGTATGTACGAATAAGTATATGTATAATAGTAAAATATTGTAACAATTATTAAATAATATTTACAATAATACTGGTAGAATTCAATACAATATAATATATTACAAATAGATTTATACAGTATAAAATACCCTTAAAAATAAGGAATAATATACCATTTTTGCTCAGAATCGATTTTCATATGCAATGACAAAAGTGACATATCACTTAACTAAAAATTAATATTTTCATAACAGTACCTATTCTATTTAATGACAAAGTACTCTTGAAACCTATTATACAGTAGAACAATTCTCCAGATTTAAGGATTCTACTAAGTACTCAATGTCTATAGTTGTTTCTTAATTCAAAAGTTCCTTACCAAATATAAAATACCATAATTATTACCTATCTATGTGACTATGTATATCAATTTAAATTGTTATCTACATTTTTAAAATCAGATATTATATTTATATATTGTCCCAAATATAGTGATTTGATTAAAAATTATGGCATATTTTCTTATCTAAATATTTACAGATTTAAATAATTTTTTTTGAATGTTTTGCTTTACAGTACATTTATCATTTATAATTTAATACATTATGTACCAGAGTAGTCTACTTCTTTGAATGTGTTATATATTAACTATAAAAACAGAACAGCAATCATGAAGCTATTTACTAAAGCTTACAACTAAAAAATAAATACCTATTTTCCAAAATGATCACTTATTAAATTTAAGACAATCTCACAACATTTTACAGGATATAAAGATAATGTTTGAAAGATAAATTTATATAAACTAATATTTTTTTATTACCCAAAGTTATCTTCTTGTTATATTGTAAAGGTAGGTACTTATAGAAAAATACTACTATCCAATATAGAGGAAAAATCAGTTTAGTTTATTTCATTATGTAGGTAACAAAATAATTAGTAACATATTTGGATAATAACTATAGGGAAAGACTAAATTAAAATTATAATACTGCAGAAACATGTTATTCTAATAACATACAATTTGTATTGTGTTTTAAACATTTACCTAATAATTATTCATTCATAACAATGTATTGAAATGGAATTATTATTTTTACTTATTTTAAAATATACATAAATGAAGTACCAACCCAATTTCTGTAAATTTCTAACCAGTCAAACAATATATTAACAAATATGAAATTAAAAAAAAATAATATTTTTGAATAGGTAGGTAGTTACCATGAAAAAGGTTCACTTATATAGAGTATCCACAACTTATTCAATGATTAATAAAATGTAAGTTTTATTACTACCACRTACCAATGTTTATTAAGTATGTACAAATATACCTATAATCTACATATCATAAGCAAGGGCTCTATTAAAAGGTAGTTATTTTATTGATTAGCATGAATGTATAACTCGGATTTAATATATAAGTTGGATTCCACTTGGAATTATATGTGAATTTTAGGTGAATAATATGTATATTAGATATGAAAATTATATTTGACATTTTATGTGATTATAACAATTAATATTGTAATAAAACAAAACACCTACTTAAAATTATTAAATAATATAATTTATAAAATAACAAAGAGTCAAACCTATGATGTTTTATAATTTGGTAGACAATTTTTTGATACAATTTAATACCTATCTACATTTGTACCTATTTAATAATAAACTTAAATAATAGTTTATAAAATTGAATTAAACAATTTAATTTTCAACTTGACAGTCAAACATCAAACAATGAAAGGTTTAATTTGATACATAATAAAAATATTAATAATAAATGTCAATATTATTAATTTTTGATTATTTTAAATAATAAGTCTATTTATAACATTTATTAAAACTCTAATTATGTTTTGAACTGATAAGATATATTATGAGTTGTTTATTTTAAACTGAATAAATATTACGTATCGAATTTGTGTCAACTTATCTACCTATAGAGCAATGTAGGTACACTTCCTTCAACAAATGTTTTGATGCATGTTAGGTAGCTACTATAATTCATTTTTTCAACATTTTTTAATTAAATTAAAAAATAGGTACATACATAAATAATTTAAATTAAGTCTAAGGGTTGAAAATTCTTAAGCTCTTAAATAACATAAGAGGAATCAAAATTTTAATTGGTAGTTATTTAAAAAATGGGAAAGTAGGTACATGTTACATGTACAAAGCCACATAGGAACATAAAGCTGTTTGAATATAACTGAATGCAATACAACTGTATACTGATCAAAGAAAGGCAATCTGATTGTGACTTACTGACATAAATTTAAAAATCATATGAAAATAATAACAGACCAAAATACTGAACATCTTCACACATAAAAGATATACCATATACAGAGGTCGGTATCAACCTAAAACCTGAAAGGTAATCAGAAATATTGCTCTAAATATATGTCTACGTAAAATGACAAAGTCAATCCAATCACAATGAGTTACAGTACTATAGAGTGCATGGCCTTAATCTTAAGTCGTAACATACCTAGTTCTGATATTAATATTTACCTGTAGTAGGATAGTACACCGTTTGACAAAACGAACCATCGTTTCTGGTAACCTTTGATGTAGTTTGTCCACTTGAACAGCCATCCTTTCATGTCCTCGTCGACTATCGACAGCGGGGGCGGCGGCGTTGAGCTTTTCGAATCTGCTGCGGCCATCGCTGGAAGGCTCAATTACTACCAATAAAAATGATGGCAGAAGCGATGGTGACGGCCATTGTCGTCCTCCGACATATCTCTAGTCTTTCTTTCTACCAACCAACTACACACGCGTACAACTGAAACTTAAAAGCACACGATTGTAACAAGAACGGCAACGACACGTACAGATATATATTTTTAGTAATAATATATTAATATCAATAACAAATATTTTCAGTTTTTGCTAAAGATAATTGTTAACCCTTTACCCGTTTACCCCGTAACCCCGTCTGCCATCATAACAGTTGACGATAACGAACAGCTGACAGTACGACAACGACGACAAACACTCGGAAATCAAAATCRCGGAGTGCCGAACCACCACGAACCACAGAACCAGCGAATTAGGCCCGGTATCAGTGCGGCCAACGGTGTTATCTATATCCTATGGCCAAGGCTTAAGATAATATTATAGATCTATAATTAGGCAAACTACCAAAATGAGACGTTTATTTCTTTCATTCGTTTTTTAAAGTAAAAAGTAGTGATTTTGTGTTAGTGTTTACTCGTTTTTTCCAACGGACGTTCTATATAATATATTGGGTATTTCAGTTACGCATCCCTAACACAATTAATGCAGCGTCATCTGCAGTTATCGTTGTGAAAATGTCAACAAATATACTCGAAGAACCTTTGATCCGATCACAAATTCGTAACTGTTATTCACTTTACTCTTCACCGCTAGATTTCAGTGCCATAAATGATGTTWGATTTTAATTTAATTTTTTCAGATAATCTGATTCCATGACTAACTGCCGACCAACACGGTGTATAATAATATCATCGAGACGCGAGACCATCGAGTAATACGCCTTAGATCATGTACTGTTTTTATAAACATTGTTTCGTTCAAAATTGGACGAAATTAAATATTTAACGATTTTAGTTATTTTATTGCAATTGTTTAATACTTTTAACCTGTAATTTTGTTTGATGGGTACTTCTTGAAACTTAAACGTGAGGTTATATTATTATTATATTTTACTACACAAATACACAGTAACAATTTTTAATTTATAGAAGCAATTTTTTGATAAAAATTGATTCAAAGTATCATATTAATATATTACCWTAAATAGACTATTATAYTAATAGTAAAATAAATTACTTTAATAACAATTTAAATATATCATAAAATACAGATAGGTACTTAGTTGTCTTAGTTATAATGGTAGACCATCTTGACTTAAAATTGATTTTCGTATATGCTATTATTTATCATTGAATTAAAATTATTCAACATTATATAGATTACTCATCTTTGAGTCTTGACGAGATGCTCTCGCACCTACCATACAGCAAAGCGGTTGTCTACTTCCCCCTTACTTTTAGATTCTGATTTTGTTTGTCTGTTTACACGATAAGTAGTCGAAATAATGCTTCGATTTTCAACTTAAAATTCCAAGTAGTTTTCAAAAGCACCATGAATAACCAAAAAATAAATTAATAAATAAAGTAAAAAACGAATTTTTACGTAAAATCMGTTCTTGAGAAAATTGATTTTAGATATTGGTGTAACTCTAAAACAAATTACCGTAGATACATGAAATTTTCACTGAATGTTTATACTGTCATTTTATATACATGATAAAATTTTCAAAATATTTCACAACTTTTAAAATTATTTATAGACATTTGAAATATTTAATCTTTTTAGTAAGTAGTTTTTTTTTTTATAAATGATAATAAAATCTTATACGTTGGGTAAAAAAGCTTCAAAATTTAATACAATGCCTCCTATTATATTTTCACAATGGTAGTTAAAAAAAAAATTATAAATACATAGTTACAATTTTTTTAAATAAGCATTGAAAGTTTGAATTTTAACAAAATACGTAAAAATCACAACAATTTGCAATTTATTTTGAGTTAGAAATTCGTAAAAATGTATCTTTTTATATCTAAGATTTAAAAACTTAATACAAGATTTTTCATGAGTTTGTGTTCTTTTATTAATACAAAATGTCCACCGGAAAGTTAAACTACATTTTAATGAGCATTTAAATTTTAAATTACAACATTGGAGATTCACTCAATTTCTCATGTATTAATMTTCTTATTTAAATGTTATTCAATAGCGAATAACTGCAGAAACTTGAAATTTACACGATATGTTTATCTTAACAATTCCCATAATTGTTAAAATTTTCAAAATATTTCAACTATTTTTAAGTTATTTATAAACTTGAAATTTTCCGTTTTTTAGTTTTTATTCTATATATTATGTTAACATGCTATTAAAAAATATATTATTATTATAATTATTATTAATTAATAAAATTATACCCGTTTGGTGAAAAAACTTGAAAATTTAACACAAGGTTCCCTATAAGTTTATAATATAATAGCAATTGCAAAATATTAAAAATACATTGGCACGTTTTTTTTTTTTTTTTATAACCATTTAAAGTCCAAATTTTGACAAAAATGATGTAATTGAAACTACAAATTCTTCAGTTGTTAAAAATGTATAAAACGTATACATTTTTTAGCTATAAAAATTGAAAATTTAAAACAAAGATCCACGTAAGTATAGTTAATCCTGCTGCAAAAAAAAATCTAAAATCTATTCAAACACGTTTTTTTTATGGTTATATCAATTCAAAATTTAGATGAAATTATATATTAATTAATTAAGAATAACAATTTTAGTTATAGTTGTAATTTAAAAATATTATTCGTGGGTACTTAAATTTCTAGAATATACTTTATATTATAATAATTTATAGCTAATGCCATTAATAACTTATATTAATACTTTATAACAAATTGTATATACCTACTCTAAATGACTGAGTGAGTTGGGTTGTTGCTGTTGTTGGGTACATAATGAATACGAATTGTGTGAAATATGTGTGTATATCAAAGTTATTATCACTTGTCAAAATAATTATTATTATGCTTTGAGTATAAAATTAAAAATATGTGTTGTTTTCATATAGTAAAGAGTAAAAACTTAATTAAATATCATTATTTTTCTAAAATGTAGATCTCTATAGATTTCAAATGATGTAAAAAATTTTTTTATACTTTTCGAGATTAATGATTATAGTTATAAATGTTACCCAATACTTTTAAAGTGTTAAACATATCACTCATATTAATGTACATAAAATTGATATTAATATGATGATGATTGTATATAGACCATTTGTCCATTTACATAAATATACCTCAATTTATTTATAATTTATTGAAAATCTAGTAATTTAGTTTACTTTATCAAATAATAAATTAATAACCCATCGATTTTAATGTTATTAACTAATCATAAATTTCTGCACTCACWTTGAAGTATTTATTCGAACAAATACTAAATAGTTCGATAATATGCATTAACATCATGGCTCAAGTATCATTTTGTTGATTAAATAGGTAAAATAGGTATAGGTAAGTTCGAACTTTTAAGTACCTACCCATACAATATTATATATTTTAATCTACAGTCCTTGTAATAAAAAACTAGAATATTATAATAAAAATACCTAGTTATCATTATTCATTAGTGAAGGTTATTTTTTTTTTTTGTAATTTATATCAATAATTTCAACTAAATAGTCGAACCAGCACGAGCTATTATTTCTTAAATTTATTTGTCATTACATAACATAATAGTATAGTCGGTACAGATAGTCAAAATCATTATTCTATATAGTAATCTATATCTATGTTTAATCTTATAACATTATCTAACCAAACTTTTAACTTTCATTGTTATATTTTTATAGAGGTATATAGTTTTCATAATATTTTCTACATAATATCTTATTATTATATCGCGCATTTTATTAAGATCATATTATTAATATCTGATTTTTTGTGTAATTATAAAGAATTATTTGGATTTTTAGGCTTTAGCAACTTATTATTACTGGATATATGTGAGTAAAACCACTTTTTTATTATGATATAATAAATTTATCTTAAATATTCCTGATGGAGCTTGATGACTCAAATTGTCATATTTTATAATATACATATAAATGTGCCTATATATTTACATTTTAAATTATAAGCGGATAATATATTGATTTTAAAATTATGTTTTGTGTTTTTTTACATAAATTTATGTTAAGGATGTGGACTGCCTAAAATTCATAAGATTCTTGTAAAATTATATTATTTTAAGTTATTTGTACCACGAAAAAGTGATGGATTGGTTATTATATTGGTACAAGTTAAGGTTAACTATAACACACATATATTATCAAACATTAATAATATAAATATATAATAATAATTATTATTTATTTATTTACGGGTAAGAATCCAATTACACGAGATTAATAATTTAATACATAGAAATAATGTATAAATAAACATTTGGAAAAACTAACTACATTTTTAGTTATTATAACAAAATTAAAAACCACAGTCTAATAAATATTTTTTCTTRCATAAATATTGAAAGAATCAACAGAAAATTACATTTAAGATAAAAAATTGAAATCAAACTATTAAAAAARTAAGGTAAATGGATGACGCTCTGCTGTACAATAGGATACAAGTAGGTTACTGTAATGGRTGGTACTAAATTGTAATTCAACAATATACCTAATRTCATTGTATACAAAAAACGATTCTGAGTGGAGAAGGGTTTGTCAGTCTAGGATATTTTATTCTAATATATAAATTATACTGTTATTATTTCAAACAAAAAAATGTCGGTATCTATTTTTTATTTTTGGTTATTTCTGAATATGCAGAGCGATAATGTACTTGAAAGTGTCGATCGGTTAAGTAAGATTTAATTAGGAGAAAGAACGGGTGGGGAAGAACACATTTGAGTTTGTACAGTAATTCGTCATGCCAAACTCTACATGTCGAACGCTTGAGATACATTAAGAAAGACACAGGTACAGTAAAGTTTTTTTTTCCAACGAGAGCGATATTGCATCGACAATCCTATAGGCTTGATGAATGGTACAATGTGAGGATCTGAATCCGAATTGGGTGTTCGGCAGAACATTGTTCCTCTGCAATATGACCAGTGTCGGCCTGGCGTAGGCGGCTATAGGAGGCGATCGCCTCCGAGGCCCCGACCTGTATTTTTCAAGATGAGGCCTTATTTCATTTGTTGAAAATGTTTAAATACAAGTGTATAAATGTCTAATCAAACGTACATTTACCGATCGTGTGCGTACTGCGTGCTGATATCCAAGCCATTGATTACAGCCACGTCACCTAAACATATTATAAACATTACGTCAGTACCTACTGATAATTTATTTTTAGAAATATTGAGAAAAAATGATTGACAATGTGGCTAACTGATCAAATTTATTAAAAGGACTACTAATATAAATTGAACAATACAACAATCTATAGTTCTGTTAAGTTATTTAATTAATTTTTATGCATATCACATTTTGTGGTTACATGTTGAATAATCATAGATATTGTTAACATTTTGAACATTTTTTACTACAGTGAAAGCTGTTAACAAAAAAGTTAAAGGGGTATTTTTGAGAGGCCCTTTGAAAAAATTGCCTCGTGTGCCCTTTAGATCCCAGGCAGACACTGAATCGGACTGCATCAGACGYGGCGTGCTGAATAACCACGATACGCCCGGGTGTGGCCGTAATCTTGGCAATTTTGACATTGGCTAATTAACTTAGGCTTGTATCCATCAAACCATCTTTAACCTTAATTTTTGTGTGCAGTAGGGAAGATAATTTGTAGATTTGGTTAGAGTGATCAGTCGGCTCTAAATCAACGAAGAACAGCGGGTGTGGGTGCTTGTTAATCTTGTGCAGGGCATTCGTGATTTGACAGACTTCGAATAGGCGCGTCTCGAGCTCAGATTTTATTAGTTCTATCGGTGTAGTAGCCAGTAGGGTGCAGATTGCGGATAACTATCCTCGTKGATTTGTTCTCATCGAGTTGGTATGTGTGGCATTTCGCATTATGATAGGTGGCAGTATGTTATCTAGAGGTATGGTCTTAAATGGCCGAAACCGAGAAAGAAGAAGAAGAAAAATCTTTT